CCGAGCATCCCCATTTTGCATCAATATTTTTCCATGCCCTTCAACTATAACTAGGTCATACGTAGTCCCCTCAAACTCCAACACTGCTCTCAAAGTGTCGGTGGGCTCCCTAAGAACATATGTTCGCCAAAAATCAACAGGAATTGGCTGCAACATACGGAGTATGTGAAGATGTGGTTGAAAATATATATATAATAAGCATGACGTAAAAAAAATGAAGACATGTACACAATTACCAAACGCGCACGTTCCACATGGGTTTTCTTTATTTCTAGCGTGTAACGGTGTCGAAGGTCCCGCTCAACTTGGTCGTCCCTGTGGACTGTGACCATGAAATCCGTAAATGATGTACGGTCGAACCATAGACAATTGTCGGCCACAATGTCCTCGGCACACACAAAGTCTAGCCACCCTTCGTAAAAAACCACCCGAAAACGATTACCTCTCATTGCCACATGATACGTCCGACCCTCTCTAGTGGTTAGGGTGCACTGAACAGGTATAAGGTGGCTGTATCGATGGTTTAGAGCGTCCGGAAGCTTCTACATTACACGTACAAAAAATTAAAGTGACCATTAATATGATATTATTATTAGACCACGAAATTAAAACATGAAGAACACGAAATTAAACGTGAAGAAGACGAGGTATTGAATTACGCAAACGTACGAATGTTCGTTTCTCCGAATTGACAATGTACTTAAAAAAAACTTTGAAAGTGTTCGGCCATGTTGAGTTACGTGTTATCTACGCGGCTGAAGTCGTCAAAACAAAAAAAAAAAAAATGTCAACTTCAGAGCAAATAAATTAAACTATAATAGGTTAATATTAAAAAAAAAACACTTTTGGAAGAAACAAAGGTAACGACAATATACAACATGCCGACTAATATGGGTCGCACATGTATGACCAGAAATAGGAAGTCCGGTTTTCAATCTACAACTCCGACAACAACGATATGGGCAACCTCATCATACACCAATAATAGAGCAGACTATACCGATGTAACAAAAAATATTAGAGCGAATAATTTTTTCGGGCAACTATAATCAATTCTAAAATTCCGATAGAGAAAAAGCAAAATCGCATTCAAAGAAAAGTGATTGGAAAATACCGATAACCGATAACAAAAAAAAAAAGGATTCGCTCCTTTGAAACCTGTTCATTACGAGGAACTATTTTGCTTCAATTTCTTTCTTACATTATAACAAAATCATTAGAAAATTGATGTTATACCCAGCGAATGAAAACATAAAAGAAGTAAGTGGCCGGCCGTACCTCTGAGAACAACCGATCCGTCTTCTTCTTTTGTTCGGCGGTGGCGGTACCCTTTGCTCACAACTATTTTTCCCTTCTCCTTACCAACACAAGCAAATTTAATTTAGGTCAATCCTCGGTTCCACCGTCTGTTTCAAATTTTTTGTGTATTTCGTTTTGCTACTAGTCCAGTACACGTGTGTTACACGAGTGTTACTTATTACATTTATAAAAAAACTATTAATAATAAAACATATATTTTAATGATATTTATAATACAATTATTTTAACTTTTATATAATATTAAAATAGTACACGAGTGTTACTTATTTCGTATTACTACTAGTACAGTACCCGTGTATTACACGAGTGTTACTTATTACATTTATAAAAAAATTATTAATAATAAAACATATATTTTAATGATATTTATAATACAATTATTTTAACTTTTATATAATATTAAAATAGTACACAAGTGTTACTTATTTGTATTGCTATTAGTACAGTACCCGTGTATTACACGAGTGTTACTTATTACATTTATAAAAAAATTATTTATAATAAAACATATATTTTAATGATATTTATAATACAATTATTTAACTTTTATATAATATTGAAATAGTACACGAGTGTTACTTATTTCGTATTGCTACTAGTACAGTACCCGTGTATTAGATGCGTGTTACTTATTACATTTAAAAAAAAAAATTATTAATAATAAAATTATATTGTAATAATTTTTATAATATAATTATGTTAACCTTTATATAATATTAAAATAGTACACGAGTATTACTTATTTCGTATTGCTACTAGTACAGTACCCGTGTATTACACGAGTGTTTACGCATAACTTTATTTCGTAATAAAGAGGGTGGTTGTAACACCTCTCATTCAACTCTCACACGCATCGGTTACGCCGCCTGTAAAATATGCCAATCCTCGTTAGGTGTGTGTAATAAATATTGTTTTAATTGATAGGTGGCAATAGCAATACACGTATTTTTTTACAAAATTGTATTGAAAAAAAGAAAAAGTAAAATCTGACAAAGTGATAAGGAGAGATACACGTTAATTTTGACTGCACGGTTCACAGTATTTTTTTTGTTCTTATTCTACTTGGAAAGAATATTGTTATTAGTCAAATGTTCATAAACAGGGGTAGTTTTATTTTTTTTGGTTATTATATATATAAAACAAAGGAAACTTGTATATAAAACTTGTATAACTATCCGGTTGTCCCTACAAGTCCCTCGGTTGAATATCATGTGGACAAAATAAAGAAGCCATCAAATCCCATATTCTCGCATCCGCCCGAACCGACAGTTCTAGTTGACCATTGAGGTATGTATTCATCCGTTTTGAGTTGGCCATATTACAATTTAAAGGAATGATGTGTCCGTAATGTAAAGATGTACATAATGGGTACGAGTGTATGACCAATTGTCATTTTTCCATCTTTTGTCGTTTGTACGTGTGGGGTGTTATTTTGCTACGTGAAATTGTATTCTTTACGAACTCGTTACATATTATGGCTATAATGCAAATACGTTCACTATATTTTTTATCAGGTATGGCAAATACGTTTGACCTGTTTCTAACAATTATTACAAATGCAAGCAGCCCGACTTTGGTATGAAAATGCCCGATCAAACAAACATGTTTTATTTTTTAACATAATATGTATATGTAAGTGTTAACACCTAATTAATACCATCATGAATATGCATGTCGAATTCATGCAGGCATTGCCGCAGTCAATCCACCATCAATACACTAATCATATCACGGTCAATTGTACAATAGTTACTAGGGAGCACGGTCTTATGAAGTTTGGTTGGTAAAAGTGGAAAATGAATTGCAGTTTGTTGATGGTTGGGAGTACTTCGTACGAGCGGAGGATATTCACTCGGACTACATTTTGTATTTCGAGTGCACCAGTCTATATGAATTTGTAGTGAAAGTGTTCACTTGTAATTCGGTTGAACGAACTCCCCAATATCGCTTCTTTCTGGATATGAAGAAAACGAATGTTCAACGGGCACGTTTGGTGCGTTACACATTTCACTTCAAATCCGGTAAACTAAAACAAAATAATATTAACCTCATTGTCTTTACTATTGTAGGCCATTCCAATCAATTTTTTGAGGGAGCATATCGAACACCAAATTAATAATACTAGCAGAGCAATGTTAATGTGTAAAGGAGGTCGATACACTGTTCCAATCATCCAAGCGCATGGTAAGACATTGATGGAACATGGTGATTCACGTGAATTTATGGACCGTAGTTGAATCGTCGAGGGCGTGACATGCGTATTCACTTTAATTCCATATGAGTGTGTTGTTTTCAAGGTCAGGATATTGGATGAATAACATGTACTCCTGAGAAAGTGTTTGCCGTCCAAAAGACCGTTGCAACTTGTTTTCAACGTCAGGATATTCTATATGAGTATGTTTTGAATAATTTCATGTTTTATGATATATGTAACAACTTTTTCTTTTCATTGTATGCTATATAAAATATTGATTAATTGCATGTTATATATATAAGTATATATAACTTTTTACGTGTCGCAAATTACATGTGCGTTCCGAAATGACAAATTCATAGGTATAAAAATGTCGCTACATTAAGATTGGCAATTTCATTAAGGTATATAATATATTTGATTATTTTTAATTTTTTTTACCACAAAATATATTTGGTTAGTTATAATTTTAACACAAAAAATATATTTGTTCTTTTTTTTTTTTTTGGTTTGCTCCAACAAACAGATCTCGAACACGGTTATTTGCGGCAAAAGTTTTATATCAATGAACACAAATATTTCCTCATTTTTTTTTTCTTTGCTCCAAATAGTTCATTTTAGTAACAATGAATTGTAGTATTAGTATTTTTTTTTAAAAAAAAAGGTAGGGTAAAATAGGGTGAAAAGGGAAAACAGCCCATACATATTGCTTTCCATCAAAAGGTGTACGTGTATTGTTTTATTATGCATGAAAAGAATGAAACAAAAAACAATATTGCACAACTGAGACAACTGGTATGGACAGTTTTTATTCACATGCCAAAACAGTGCCCTTTTTTTTATTCATCACATGTCACTCCCACTGACAAACAACCACAAACAAGTTGTGCTTTTTTAGAAAAATATAGCAGGAACAATTCTGCCTAATCTAGTGTTACTTTATATATATAGTATATATTCATGTTGGGAATATGCAAAAAAAAAATAAAATCGCACTACTCTTTATAATCAAAATATAATGTTATAATAACAATTATTATATATATATATATATTATATATATAATGTCCCAACAAAATTATATTTATATCAGTTTAAACATTTTGAAAACAATAAAACCTGATTGCAATTATTTATTAACAATTATTTTATTAAATACTATTATAGTTGTGCAACATAACCTGCTTTCAATTTTCTTTTTCATTTTTAGTTTAGAATTAATGAAAAAACATGTAATTAGTAAAAACTATAATTAACTATAAAATGAAATTTACCAAAAATATATATACATATCATACACATCGACTTGGAAGGGAAGGTCATAAGCGTCGACACTGTAAAGTCAATTTTCAACGGAAGAAAAAAGACAAATACGGTTTTCATTAATTTCAATCATTAATAGATAGAGAATAAACACCAACTCGTCTCTTTGGTTTTCATTAATACAAGACACACCCAACAGGTTTCATCAATACATACGGTTCTTTTATCTTCGGTTCGCCCATAGCGCTTGGGCTATCGTGTCATGCAACACACAATGCTCACCAGCGCCGACATTGGAGTTATTACTCGACATAAAAGGGAAAGTCCGATCAGTTGGATCATGTCGTCGTACGTATTCTGGGTTGCTGAATTCAGGTGGCATGTTTTCGAGCGGTTCATGCATCCGAATAAAACTGTGTAGGACACAATATGCTATTACTATGTCGGTTTGGGAATGAACTTTGTAGTTTGGCATCAACCCCTTTATCATTGGAAACTTCCCTTTTAGCAAAACAAAGCTACATTCGATAACATTACGGACAGTGGCATGTCGTCTGTTAAACAACTCACGAGCATTGTCGGGCAATTGGTTAGACCCCAACCACTCCGGAAGATGATATCTTTCACCACGATATGGTGTCATGAAACCCGGAATGTGTGCATATCCGGAGTTTACCACGTAGAATTTACCTGCATGAACATAACTTTTGTACTTACAGGAATGTACTTAGCATAATTTGTACTTGTATTTACTTTGACTACAGTATAACATTTTAATAGTGTCATGGTCAATTTACCCGGCGGTGGATAGGGGAATTATATCTAGGATCCGACAATGTCTAATTGAAAATGCGTGCATCGTTTGCGCTGCCTTCCCAACCCGCTAGAAGAAAAGTGAATTTGAGGTCAAAATCGCACGCCAACATCACATTTTGCGCTAAATACCATTTCCTACATTTGTAGGAACCCTGTTGTCCTTCTGGCACCCACGCAGGTATAATAGTCCCGTCAATTGCGCCAATGCAGTCCTACGAATAGCAGATAGAATTTCAACAATACATGTACTTTTGTTCAAAATAACGGTGTACGCCACATTAAAGAAAAATAAATAAGTGTTGAAATTACCTTGAAGTAGGGATATAAATTCGGGTTATTTCTTATCCACTGTGCAACATGGTTGAAGTCTGGGGACGAATGTAGTCGGGGGCGAGATAACAAAGCGCATTGATGACGTTGTGACAATGACGACTGATTGTCTCCCCCAATTTTCTAAATGTTTCAGCCGCAAATCGTGTCCTTTGATGCCCTTTTATTGTATGCAGAAAAATGGCTACGCTTTCTTCAATGCCTATTTTTGTTTGTCTTCGTTTTGGGTGGAATCCAGCCCTTTTGATTTCATCGCAATGTATGCTAAAATGACATTGATTTATGTCCATTGCATCTTTAAATCGGCGAGGATTTCCAGCTAACAATTCATTTACCCAGTCCAAACCTGAGTACGTGGATTCTCGATATGGTATTCTTCTTAATGGGGGAAATGTGGACGACGAACTGTCGTAAATGTTTACAAGTTGTTGAAATTGGGCCCCCATCATTAACGAAGTTTCCAACGGGTCGTAGTCTTCCACTGTCTCGAATTCGCTGTCAATGTCCTCAGGCAAATCATCGATCTCCTGTTCATATGTGTCACTATCATTTACGTAAGACATCCTACAAATAAATATAATAGTGGCTAAAACACATATACAAATGTTCACAAACAAATTCTCACATTAATCATGCAGAAAAAATGAAACAGAGTAGCAAGGAATCAAAGTTCAAACATAGTAGAGTTGAAGACAAATATAGAAAACAGTCAAGTCCAACAAGAAATGAAAACAATAGTTAAAAACCAATCCACCAATCCACATCCCCACCAATCCACATCCCCCTTCACTGTGAACCGGGCCCCTTATTAATCCACATATTAATAATATGTTGACGCCTCTCGTCACTAGTTAGCGCCAAAAACATGGCTCGATTCGTGGGATCCCGGAGCTTATTTCAATCAAACTGGAAAAGATCTTCGTCCATATTCGGCATAGCTTGGAGGTCGCGCATTGCATGTTCCATCGTTGTTAGCTTCACGGGTTTGTTGTTTCTTTCTTTTAGCGACACATTCAAGTCGGACCACGAGTACATGGCGATGTCGAAACTGGACTCCGTGCTTCTCTTTCGACGAACAGACCAATTCTGCCCAGCATGCCGTCGATGAGATGTCGAGGTCTCCATTGGTTCGTCATCTTGTTGCGTAAAAACATCGGGGCTGAAATTTCCAGATGGCTCACCACATCCCTCGGGCACACGTTGAGTCGATGCCCTTGCATTCGACCCCGTAGCAGTCGTCCCATGAAAAATAGTCGTCAACGCTTCGTAGTGCACACATACTTTGCCCTCCATGTCATGATAACTCAGATTTGCCTGTGGACGTCATAAAACAGCGAATATTTTAGAAAAAAGGGGAATAACACAACAAGAACTCCAACATTCGTTGATACAAATATTCCCCACGAAACAAGCAGTACAGGGCATATATAAATTTGCAAAGTAACAAAATGAAAATCATAATAAGGCCAACATATATATGTACAAGAGACCAATTTTATGTTTCAGCTGAAATGAAATAATACTTATACATAGAAAATAAAAGAAAAGAAGTAACAAAAGGTGTACAAGCCACATTGTATTTCGAAGACAATTGAAGCAAAGAACATTATAACCAAAGAAAAAAAAAAGGCAATGAAAACAGGTGTACATGCAACACTTGTATATTTGCAACACAGTTGAAGGAAGCAAATAACAATTGTCAGATTTGAACATAGAAAACACTTGTATGTTAAAACACTAGTAAGATAAATTAATTGAACTTAGAAAACACTTGTAACAAACCATAAAATATACTTACGGTTGTCCAGTTTCGCCAACCATCAGCGTCTCCCGTAATCAATTTTTTATGTGGACACCAACTCAATCCAGTGGCATTGGTAACCATGTTGTGAGATTTTCTCCAATACACCTTCATTCGTTGGTATTTACTTTGCAGTTGTGCAACTTTGTAAGGATAGTGAATGGGACACTGCTCCTTGAACTTCGCAAGAATGGTCGCCCATTGATTCGGTGTGAACTTACCGGTTACACGGTTTCCCATCATAAGTTCTTCCAACAGAATATTGACAAAAGCGGCTTCATTTTCGGGAGGTCATTTTGCGTCTCCTTGACTGCAGTCAGTCGAAGGACCAATACCACCCGAAAATGCCATCTGCAATATGGAAAATAACAAACCAAATACAATGTTCTATGCTATGCTTCACATGTACAAATCAATCGTATTTTATCTGCAATCCGGACAACCAAAAATAAAGGTAACATAATAACAAATGCCACAAGAGGGTGGTTAGAGATTCACAGTTTACACATCATATGCCAGCTACAATGAAGACGACAACAACAAAAAAAAAATATATAAAATTGTAAGGTCAGATATAATGCCAATGAACCTCAGACCCAAATTTACCCTAGGGTCATACCGTAATGTTTTCTTTTTTTAATTGGGTACTTCCATTTACCCACCCCCAAATTTTGCTATGAAAGGATAGTAACATCAACATAGTAAACTTCAACAAATCAATGGAGGAGAAAAGGAGTATTCCCTACCTTTGTTGGTCGGAGTCTCTTTTTTTGGAGATGTCACAGAGACGCTACTGGTGCTTTCGGTAGTGTCTTCAGCTGGGAAATCGGTTCTTTCTTCGGCCTCTGCTTCACGTGATATCGGCGGGTGATTTCGTGGAGGGAGAAATCCATAGATTCAGAGGTGATTATGGACAGATTTATTGAGGGCGATTCTCGACTTCTCTGAATTACAGCTAATTCGATTTGAAATGTGAGAAAAAAAGTCAAAAAGATGAAGAATCGAAATAAATGGCTGCAGTGGTGTCGGTTTCTTGAGGAGTGGGAAAGGCGGACCGTGTTCTGGTGTACAATTGGTTTTGTGGGCCATGCACAAGTGGTTTCATAATAGTGATATCCAATCACAGATCCTACAATAAAAATCAGCCCAATTTCAGTAAAATTTGAGCCCAATTGATAAACAATCGCGGCCTTAATACTTGAACCTGCCTTGTTGATAAAACGGGCGGACCCAATATGGCTCGGTCATGCCAAGCCTGGTCCAAACTGCATCGTAGCTACCCCAATTAAATTAAGGGGGGGGGGAGGGGGAGGAGGGGGATGGGGTGTATTCAATTAGGATTCTTAGAGAATTTTTAAGACTTTTTCAAATGAATGACTTTTGTGGACTTTATGCAACTTTTAATGTCTTTTGTGGATTTTTTCAGATTGTTATGAAGTCTTTTTAAGACTTTCAATATGAACTTTTTATGTCTTTCTAATATTTTTATATAATTCTTAAATAATAATTAAATTTATATGAAATACTCATAAAAAGTTAAGTGCATAATAACTAACATCAAAAAAGTCAATTTAGTATATAAAAAAATTATAATATTAATTTAAAATGTCTTATGATATTAAACACAATTTATTGAGCTAGAATGAAGACAAAAGAAAAAATATTATAACAAACAAACTCAATAAGAAAAAAAGCATGAAAAAATTTCAACAGTCAGAACCTTTTCTTCTATTTGTCTCATTTTCTTCTACTTTTTCTTTGTTTGATTTAGCTGTATAGTTGCTGGAGATTGCATGCTCTTTTTGAAATGAACATGTGATCACGGTGCATGCCTGAAAATTGATTACCAAAATATGCTTTGTCTTTTTTTTTTTCATTTTCTGAAACGATAGGAGAATTATATTGCTCAAACGGAAAGAGAGTACAAGCAAATGAAACTGAAACAAAGAACTGAGAGGACACGTACGACGAGGGCCTAGAACCTCAACAAATACTAACTCCAAACTAGAAATAAAAACTAACCAACTCTCCATTGCCGAAGCCTAGAGAGCTCGAAAAGAAATTCAACAAACAAAAGAATCAAGCAAGCAAAAAGACTAAACACAAGTCCAACAACTACAGAAGAAACAACGGAAAGTAAAGAAATAAAAAAAAGTCAGGAACACTAGGTAAACTGAGCAAACTCCAACCATTGATTGTGGCTGTTTTCACAATCTGCGTAGCTGATAAAGGTGTATTTTGAAAAAACCAGAGGTTGCGCGCTTTCCAAAGCCACCACAGCATATAGGTGGTCAGTTGGATCCTGGACTCAGCTACCTCAGACTTATTAAGAGAGCACAGATTAGACCACCAACATTTGAAGCAAGAAGTATAGGATTTCAAACCATCCCATTGCACAGGAGTAATGTCACATAATTTGCATGCTTTAGGACATTTAAACAGAAGATGTTCCACAAATTCAGCTGCATCACCGCAAGACTGACAGATTGTATCAATGACCAAACCCTTCTTCACCATGTTGAGCTTCAAAGACAAGGTACCAGTAAGACATTTCCATAGGAAATGTTTTCTCTTACCAATCACTTTAAGTTTCCAGCATCTGTTGAAAGAGTGATGCAGATTTGAAGAAGAGTAAGAAAGGGAACTGCTACAGGAATATCAAGGCCAAGCAGCTTCTGTTTGGTCAGATAAGCATAAGTACTAGCCACAGAAAAAATCCATTTTCTATCAAAAGCCCAAAAACATCTATCTGTCGTACCAGACTTTAAAGAGCAAATATCAAGAATAGCTTTGCTATCAGCTGCACTGAATAATTGTGAAATCAGCCACTCATTCCATTCCTTACCAGATGGATTAATCAGCTCTTTGACCTAGGTGATGTGGCCTCTAGCAATTTCAAGGATATTAGGCTTAGAAGAGTTGAGAGAAGGAACCCAATTGATATCATCAATTCTGGTTGACGCCCCATCCCTGATTTCCACTTTGTAACCCTTAGCAACAGTGGGGAGAACAGTGAGCCAATTGGACCAAAGCCATGGGCAGTTACTGGGTTTGACAGCATCAAATATTGAGCAGCATGGGAAGTATCTGTCCTTTAATATTCTGCTAACAAGAAGAGAGGGCTGAGAGATGATTCTCCATATTTGCTTACATATCAGAGCTCTGTTGAAGATTTTAAGATCCAAGAAACCAAGTCCTCCTTCACATTTAAGAAGAGTGAGAGCAGACCATGATCTCCAATGAATACCAGATCCTTGGCTATCACCCTTACTCCACCAAACGTTAGAGCACCATTTTGATAATTCAGAGCATAAAGAAGAAGGAAGAATGAAGCAGGACATAGAGAAAATTGGTAGAGCTTGAAGAACAACCTTAATTAGCACCTCTTTACCAGTAGGGGATAGAAGCTGAGCTTTTCAATTCTGAAGTCTAGGTTGCACAGAGTCCAACATATATTAAAAGGCTTCTCTCTTTGATCTGCCAATGCCCAAAGGTAATCCCAGATACCTTGTTGATCTGTGAGATGTAATTCCTGCAATGTGGAACAGATGCTATATTGCAAAATGGAAGGGATATTCTTACTGAAGAAAACAGCTGATTTCTGGAGATTCTTTTTGACCTATGAACAATCTATATTTTTCTAGAATATTCAAAAGAACATTAGCTTGCCCAACCTCAGCCTTGCAAAAAAATAATGAATCATCCGCAAATAAAAGGTGGAAAATAGAAGAGCCATTTTTAGAGAGCTTCATACCCAATAGTTGTCCAGAATTTATAGAAGCAGAAACCAAAGCAGATAACAACTCAGCCACAATGATAAATAGATAAGGGGACAAGGGGTCCCCTTGTCTAATGCCTCTGGATGGATAGATATATCCACTGACTGCACCATTAGCTTTAAAGGAATAGGAACATGATGTAATGCAGATCAAAATCAGATTAACAAAAGCAGCAGAAAATCCCATCTGTAATATAATCTTTCACGCAGATCCATTCCACACGGTCAAAAGCTTTCACCAGATCCAATTTGATAGCCATGAAGTGATTTTTACCTGAATTATGTATGTTAATAAAATGGAAGGCTTCTTGTGCAATTATTACATTGTCTAGAAGCTGACTGCCATTTATAAAAGCAGACTGAAAATCACTGATGCAAGTTTGCAGACAAGATTTGAGCCGTAGTGCCAACAGTATGGAAACCACTTTGTAAACCATATAGCAGAGACTAATAGGTCTGAATTGAGTAATGTAATCAGGATTGAGACACTTAGGAATTAAAGTCACAATGGTGTGACTCCAATATTTCAACAAAATGCCAGTTTCAAAAAAACTTTTAACAACAGAGATGAGATCAGACTTAATGAGAAGCCAAAATTTTTAGTAAAATAATGCAGTCATACCATCTTCTCCAGGAGTCTTTTCTGGATCAAGGTTGAACAAAGCAGCGTTAATTTCATCCTCTTGCACTGGTCTGAGAAGATCCTGATTCATATCATGGGATATTGAGGGCTGAATCAAATGCAGGATGCTATCTCCACCCCAATACCCTTCTGAAGAGAAGAGATCTTCATAGAAACTAATGATGTGGTCTTGGATCTCCTGTTGAGTGGAGCATTATCTGTTTTGAGAGGTGAGCAATATGTTAATTGCATTCTGTCTTCTCCTCTGAAGAGTATAAGCATGAAAAAATCTGGAGTTGTTATCACCTTCCTTTAACCACTTGATTTTCGCTCTTTGCTGCCAGTATAATTCTTCTTAGTGGTGAGCTTTATCAAGTTCAGCTTTTGTTAACATCCAGTCCTCCCAGTTGCTAGCAAGGTTAGCATTCCTCAGAAGTTCAAGTTTAGAAGTCAGGTGCTCAATTTTTAATTGGTTTTCAGTTTTGAACTTGGCACTCCACCTGATGATTGCTAGCTTTGTATGCTTTATCTTTTCTTTCAGCTGAAAGAAGGAGTACCTGATTGAGTTTGAGTCCAGGCTGCCTGCACCACTTCAGTGATGTCCTCCTTAAGAAGCCAACATTTATCAAAGTGAAATCGACGGGGAGGTTTCTGAATGTGAACTCCTGTGTTGAGGATAAGCAATGAGTGATCTGAGGCACTGCAAGTTATTTTGGAAATAGATGCATTTGGAAATTGTTGAAGCCAATCCATAGAGTCGAATCCTCTACCTAGTTTTTCCTGAATGAGACCCTCAGAAATTCGAAGGTTGCACCAAGTGAATTTGAAGCCAGTCATTCTGAT